AAAACGAGGGGGTTGGCAATCTCCTTCCCCCAAACAAACACGGTGAAACTGACTTAATTTCTCGAACGCTGTACAAATACGAGGCAAAAAACGAAACTGCGGCTGACCGGGGGCTCAGTGTACGATTCGCATGGGGGCGGAACAGAGCAAAAGCAGAGCAGCGGAACGGGGACGACTGAAGTGGTTAGTATATTTACAGCAGATCAAATGCAACAACAAATCCGTAACGCTGGACAGACCACGCACGATCAAGCGAAAGGTAAACAGGAGTGGATAAAATAACGGGAAGAGAAAAACAAGATACAAAACACTATCCAGGGAGTCAAAAATCCTCTGGATCAGATCAAATTTGCACTACTCCTGTCTCTAGACCAACATAGACAGAAAGACAGTAGTAACCTCCATACGTACAAGCATACGGTACAACAATAAAGCATATACACACGGAAACGGCAGATAGAGAGCGGGAGTGGATACAAAATACAGCTCTGTTGTGCTCATGTGGATGATTACTGATAAGACCGAGAGAGAGGAACAAAGAATTTGGCGAGTGCATGTATGATTCAGTGAACAGAAGGCAAAACAGTACACGCGTGGTTTATTCAAATATCTATCTCATCGCCCCACCCCACCCCTTGGGGTCATTTGGACAGAAAAAGTAATGTTTGCGAGAACAAACACAAGCACATGCACAGAACGATAAATATGCCGAATCTGAGACAGCGGTGTGCCTGGGTAGCTTGTTCTTTTGTCGATACAAGCGGTTCAACGAGGCTGATCGATTTTCTCCCAGAGAACAGGATGACTTGAGAAGTAAAGCTTATTCACACACACGCACACACACACACCAAATACAATCACAACGTGAGCAAAAAGAGCCCGTAGCTTGTCCGTCAAATGCAAGGCGGTCGTTTGTCAGCCTTACCGAACACTGTTCGAAGTGGCAGAGTAATGGAGATAAAAGCATCAAGATGGAATTGCGGGTTGACAGACAAATAAATGGAGGTCGCGTTGGGACCTATGAGTCAACTAGCCACAAGACGGAATCCTCTATGTTTGACGTAAACAGTTAATAGTAGTAAACAGACAGATCAAGGCGCTTGTGTTAATGAGAAGAAAATCAAAGCAACTGGTCAAAAATGGAGACGACCAGAAAAGAAAAACATAAACGGACAAAGAAACGAACCGACAATCAACCTCATGCACAACAATGATGATAAAACTTTGGAAAGGCAAGTTTCTTTGGATGATGTTTTTTCTGATACGCAACATCAAACAGTAAACTATTGCACAGACAAGGAATACAGCACACACCCGGGTAAGTGACCCAGCAAATCCGTCTGGGTGTACTAATCCGATCTGGTCTCGTTGATCGAGCTACAAGCCAAAGGAGTGTGTCTGCCCTAGGAGAAACGCTAAGAACATCGTCCATGTGTACAACATACGAGTAGACGATTTTTCACGGGACGATCCGTGGCAGAATTGCATGGTTTCATTATCTTAGTCGGACTATGATCATCCCCAGTAGGATTGCCCACTGGTGACCCAGGCACTGGTTTCTCTGGACCCGAATCTAATCGCAGTATCCCCTGCTCCACAGGCGGTGTAGAGCTGTGTTTCTTGTTATTTGTATTATTATTCATTTTGTCCCCATCCATAGTATCACTGTCACTGCGCGGACGATTCGGCTTCGATGTGGACGGTTCCGTGGACAGGACTTTTGAGCGTTCCGTATCTAGAGTGGGATTTGACTTGCTTGTTGTGTTTGCCTTGCTTGATCGGGACTGGAACAATTTTCCAAACAACCCACCACGCGGAGATGGTGCTAGCGGATGTGGCTGTGTTCGGTCCAGGTTCTGAACCAAATTGCCTTCTGGATCGTAGAATACATTCAATTCATCGTAGCATTCCGTTTCGATGATCTGGTATCAGATGGTAAATAACAAAGCAGATTAGAGTGAAATTTGGGTACAAGGTTGCTTTTTATTGTTTAACTTTTTGTTTCACACTTAATATATATCCTACACTGCTGTGTGATGAACACCAGATATGATAATCGTCATAGTCACGAGGACCTATTATGCACTCATAATAAACGGTAACCTAAGCCTCAGGACTCTAAGTGACGAACCACATGTCGTACTATGCTATTCAGTTCGAAACCGACACTCACCAAAGTTGGGTGTGTCAGTGTTCAAACTTCAGAGCTTAGGGCCCAAAGTAGATTGAATCACACAGCTTGACCATAAACAACACTACAGGGTGTTGGGAAAATCACGTCCTTACATGGCTATTAAAAACGGTGACAGAGGCACAACACAACCGTGTGTGTTTGACAGAGAATGATAGATTGAATTATCTTAACAGGATACTTTTTATTATTGTATTCAGACGAATTTCCTTCAATCATAAGATAAAATTACCGTAAAACTTTAAGAAGGACACTGAAGTCTTTCAAAAGCTGGCTGTCCGGGAGCACAAAAAGTAAATGATGAGATTCGAACACAGCACCGAACGGATGTGACGGAGAGAAATATTACATGTAGGTGATGGTAATAAAAATAATAATAATAATAATAATACTAAATCTTTCTTTTTATCTTTCATTTTTTTATTTTATCAAAAATACATGGAGAATAGGCGACCAAAGAGGGTTTTGAAAGCGGGAACTACGAGGTCGAGTATGAATGGACGCTCAATAACACCCGACTACCAGCAGTTTGAATGATATATGGGTAAACAGTTCACATTCGGAGCAATAAAATTATGTAAAACAGCGTTTTCCAGTTTCTTCTTCGTCTACAGACGATGACAGGTTCTAGACTTACCTCATTTTGCCAAGGAATGCTCACAGCACCTGAACAAAAGCGTTTGTAAAATTCCACATCTTGCAAGTCTAGCGTAACGCCTTTTACAGTGGAGAACTGTTCAATGTCCAGCACATCTTTCGCGTAAACAGCATGTGGCTAAACAAGGGAGGAGATGAAGATGAACCAAACGTGGAGGGATCAAGCAGATCAAAGCTGTGAATGTGAGGAAAGAGCGGAAATATGAAGATTAAAGCCGATGGTGACTAAATGAGCACGAACAGTTGTGCTTGAATAACCACGACAAGCAGATCATTTAACACGCCTTTCGAATTCGGTGGCCCAGACTCTGGTAAGAATGAGATGCTTTGGTCCCATGCTATTTGAAACGCTGAAGTGTGATTGCTTGTGGATTTTTCTGGGCGAAATTCACCGCTAATCGCCTGCGTTCACAGATAACACGGCAGAAATACAACTTATTGCCTCCTCATACCGAGGGTATTTTATCCGTTCGATCGAACATAGACAGACGCATTGACTTTGGGTTACACGACTCTATCATAAGTTTATAGTGAGCTACTTTAAACCTAAATCCTGACTGAGTGTGGACAGTTAACAACAAAAGACCATACCACTGACATCACTTAGAAAAACGAACATGGACAACCATCTCCATTTCTTCCCAGGTATTTTCTGGAATGTACCGCGTAGGTTCACGGCCTGTTTGAGTTTGATGGTTGAATAATAATAATAATAATAATAATATTTCAAACAAACGCAAAAATATGCAGAACAGATTAAGTATATTCGCGAAACACCTGATTTACTGGAGAGAATTAACGAGGTGATTAGTAATCATAACACGGTGTACTTTTGTGGTATCGTGTGTACGCCCGTTCCAATCATCTTTGGTTCAAACAGCTACCCCGGAAGCAGTGCATCAGCTCGTGCACTGCGCAAATGGACGTACTGCTGCTGCTGCTTAAGTATTGATCGGTCACGGTGACTGCGTTTCAGTAACCAACGCGTGAACACAAACACGACCGGAGTGATCCGAACAACCCGTGGTGTACACATGTGCAAGAAACGCGCCCCACACATGTACACAGGCAATCAGATTGGGTACATTTTACTGCCAGATGGACTGAAGTGCGTGTGTGTGTGTGTGTGTAAAAATGATCGGTGACCTGCATGTGTGAACCAGGCAGACACAGTTGTAACACGAAACAGAAATAACAGTCAACCAACCGAATTGGACACACGGTCAGACAGCAAGCGCATAAACAATAGAACCGAATGGGTGCCCATCCGCTTTCATTTTTAGTTTTAACTTTACACCTTCGTGCGGTGATTTGGGTAGCCCATTGTCACAAAAAGGTAGAAAGATAGTCGGAATGTGAAGGGTGGAAATTAAGAACCCAAGGAGACTAAGGTTGTAAATACGATGAGCGGATGCATGAGCCCCAGTTTTTGATACACTCAATGTTTCTAACCATTGGCTACCATGATTTGGAGGTCCTCATCCAAGGGGGCGGAAGCGACCGGTTACGACCGAGTCTCTTACTAAGCAGGGTTTTCATATTCTCATGATTGCTCTAAACCAAATCACGGGTCATGGCAATCTATTGAGTAACATGCGTAACACATGTCAAAACCAGTGTTATCCATGGAAGTGGAACGCCATTACTTGGAACCCCGTTCCTAGCCTCAGGATGGCTTGCCCGGTTTCCCCACAAGACTCGTGCGATGGTGTTCGAACAACGATGATTTAGTTCTATTCTGTTCAGGTAATGACCCAGAGTCGCAACGAATCCGTCACGTTTACCATGAGATTACATCGATAAGGTATTCCACGATCGAAATTGTGATTGACTTCATTACTCCATGTGAACTTAACATAAGCCTACGCAAAGACCGCCAGATCAGGTGGACTTAACGCGCATCAGAAATGGAACGTGCTACCAACATAAGGAATTCCGCAAGCTGATTCATCTCATACGGGTCACCGATACGAAAGCTTCACGTATGACCGAAAAAATATGCGAAGCTAACGACTACTCCAATCATAATCAACAGCGACGCCAAAGCACCTTGGTTGGAGCAATTTGACTATCGTGCTCATCTTTAAAAAGGGCCCGAGCAGTGACTGCGCCAATCATAGGGGTGTAAGATTTATCCCGATATCGTCAAATCCGTTGGCGTCCGTCATTCTCCGCCGACTGTACACGATGAATGAGGAGTAGACTGGGTTTCGCGCCGGTCACGAATACATCGATCAAATCTTCACCCTCCAACGGCTGCTAGAGCACTGCCATGCTCATCAAAGACCAACAATCATTTTCTTCTTAGACATCCGCGAGGACTTCCACTCTGTCGATAGGAACGCACTATGGAACTGTTTGTTGAAGA